TTATGTAACTGGAAAATTGTCTCCCCGGGCATAAAGAGAATTCGTTAGCACAGAACGCAGCTTGGAATAATGCTGACATAATGCTTCAATCCAAGAAAGCAACCTTTTAAGTTGCTGAAACACAGTAAAGGGGAAGAAGGAAATTGCTGTTTTACATGATTGACCAAAATGCACTGTAATTATATCGACTTGAAACAGATTCCTTAGAAGAACTGATAACTCTGTGATCCGATTAAGTCATGTGTAGTAGAACTAAATACTGCATGTACTTTCTCCGCAAAGTGTAGACACGCCGTATTTGAGATGTGCAACGGAAGAGACAGCTGTACTTGCCTTAGCCTGTTTAATGGGACTCCAGCTGCTTTAGCATAGTAATGAATGGCGGGTGGCTTTACTGAGGAATTAATATTTACCATGCCTACCCATCCTTTTGCACTGCCTTACAACACTGCTTGTGGACCCTCCTCATGTAATGTTATTTCGATGTCACCACTCCTGTTTGTAATTAACATAGCATCACTCATCAGTCAGCTTCTAAGTGGAACACTCCTTACAGATTCCACTAACAGTTCTTTTTGCCTGTTCTAAAGTGGGTGGGGAAAATTTAATTACAGATATTTAGCTCAAAGATAGCCTTCCCATTTCCCCTCTTCTCTCCAATGTCTTTACATAGTGCTATTTAATGTCAGCTACAGTCCACCCATAGACAGGAGATCATCTCCAATAAGAGTTATAATAGTATTTATTCAATGCCAGTAAAACTCCTTGGCTGACATTGGATACCCTGAAACACTATTATTACTTGCATATGGTAATCATCTATTTGCACAGCTCCTTCACCTAAGTATAAGCTTCTAGAGGGCAGGATTATGTCTTATTTCTGTAGAATGCCCCAAATAGTGGGATACCTAATATATGCTAAGTGTTCAAAAACTCTAATTAACTGCATGAATGGTGGATTAGAAATATTATCTGTCAGATTCAATAAAAAAGAAGAAATTGCAACTAGCAAGTAAAATGCCTGGATTTCCAATAGCAAGGTTAGATAACTAATTATGAAATAGCTGTACTCTGGATTCATCTTGGTGTAAGCTGACAAAAGATCTTCCTTGTTACCTGAGCACACAGACATCATAGACAAAGCTGATGTTTGTAACTCCAGCAGTGAAAAAGGGGCTAAGGTCACTTTTCTAGTATTAGTATGTGCTTGCTTTGGTCCCCCTGCTGACTCACAGTCCCTTCTAGGACCAGGGTCATGTAACTGTGAGATGGCCATGCAGAGTTAACTAAGTACTCAGCTAAGGAGCCAGAAAAGGTCAAATGGTCTATATTGGGCCTTGACTTTATCTCATAAATTCCTCCCCCAGCCCACTCAGGTCACCACCCACTCTGAGCAACTGAGTCCTGGACCACCTATCCTGAAGGAAACGAGGGAGGTTGCCATGGTGGGTGCTGCTCTCTTCCTTCACTTCCCTTTTTTTTTTTTAATTCTTTTATTTATTTCTGAGAGAGAGAGAGACAGCGTGAGCAGGGGAGGCTCAGAGAGAGAGGAAGACACAGAATCTGAAACAATCTCCAGGCTCTGGGCCAGCTGTCAGCACAGAGCCCGACGTGGGGCTCGAACCCACAAACCTTGAGATCATGACCTGAGCCGATGTCGGATGCTTAACCGACAGAGCCACCCAGGCACCCCTCCTTCACTTCTCTTAAAAGGACAGCTTTCCGGGGCACCTGGGTGGCTCAGTCAGTTAAGCGTCCGACTTCGGCTCAGGTCATGATCTCACGGTTTGTGGGTTCGAGCCCCGCGTCGGGCTCTGTGATGACAGCTGGCCCAGAGCCTGGAGCCTGTTTCAGATTCTGTGTCTTCCTCTCTCTCTGAGCCTCCCTGCTCACACTGTCTCTCTCTCTCAAATAAAGTAAATTTAAAAAAAAGGACAACTTTCCCTCACTGGCCTTTGTTTCTCTCATTTCCCCACCTGGAATGCTTTCTCACGCTTACTCTTTTTGCCTCTGAATCCTATAGGACCAGCTCAAATCCCTTCTCCTTCCTGAAATCCTTCCTGCCCCCTGCAGAAAGCAGTAATTTCTCCCTCTGATGAACACCTGGGCAGTTTGGTGTGGATCCTACATGACATTATGAATATTTTTTCTTTGTCTTATAAATTATTTTTCTCATTCCTTTATTTATTGTGTCTTTGACAGTGAGGATAATGCCCTGAGTTTTTGTAAAACCTGTAGATCTTATTTCATCTGACAATTGTTTTTAAAATACTTGATAATCTGGGGGAAAGGGCACCTAGAAAGGAATTTGATGGAGCTAAATGAATTTAATGAAAATTATTACAGATACTATGAGAAAAATCTATGAGCATGTAATACTATTTATAAAATATAAAACCATTTTAAATTATTTTCTTTAAAGAACAATTAGAGAAGAATCTTGGCTTTCTCAAATAGGACATGAGAAAATGTTTCATACTCAGCCATGACTATAGGTTACAAATATGCAAATACAGAGATGGAGATCCTTTCCCATACTAGAATCAGCATCATATTTTAGAAATCATTCTCTCTGTTATTTGTATTTGTAGTATAAACACATTATATGCAAAGTTATTAGATAAATAAGTGTACATATATTTTTCTCATTGTACTATTTTGTGTTTAGTGTTAATTCATTTGTATCCAGAGTACCAAGTTTTCTCATCTATGTGAAGTAGTCCAGAAATACCAAACATGGTGCATTTACCTGACCATCTTAATCATGTTCTTGATTATAGACAGAACCACTTACTGAACCTTCTGGGGTCAGTGGTTATGCACACTCAAATGTACCTCTAGACCCAGAATAGTTTAAATGAGTTGGCTGTATTGATCCTTGAGCTTCTAATGAGCTCAATACAACTTAAATTTTAGAGATATAATTCTTGTCTAAAAACTAACCTTCTTGGAGGGTGCCTGGGTGGCTCAGTTGGTTGAGCGTCCAACTCTTGATTTCAGCTCAGGTCATGATCCCAAGGTCATGGGATCACATGGAGTCTGCTTAAGATTCTCTCCCTTTCTCACACACACACTCTGTCTCAAAAATTAAAAAATAATTAAAAATTAAAAAATTTAACCTTCTGTAAATGATCATGTTAACAGAGGTGTAAATTTGACAAACAAAACCATCATGAATATAAATGACATTTTAAAATTTTGGCAGTAGTAGAATATTACTTTATGGATTGAAGAGGATCAAGAAAGAGTCATGTTGAATGTATCATAAAACACACATACACACACTTATTCAAAGAGAAAAAGGATTACCCAACAAGATTACCCCTTTCTTTACATTTCTGTTGCCTCCATTCATATTCTGGCATTATTATCTTCACCTAGATTATCATATTGCCTTCATGGTTGTTCTGCCCTTCATACTGCCATTCCAGTCCACCCAGTCAGGCAGTAAATATTTTTGTAGGTATTTGTATGTGCTCTGCTGGAAGAACTCTGCTGGAAACTCAGCATCCTCATCTCAGAATGGCTACCCTCCTGCACAATTACATTCAGCAACTCTCCGCTGTGCAAAATCAAACATAATCCAGCCTCACTTTCCAGTCTTATAATAGACTCATTTCTTTCCTATGCCCAACTGTTTCAATCAAAGCGAAATATTCACTCTTTTCTGTGATATATGTGTCCATTTTCAGCATAACTCCCTGTGGCCTAGGACCATAAAATACATCATTCTTAGAGGTAGAAGTGTTTGTATCATAAATCCAACAATCTCAGAAAAGTATCTTAAAGCAGACAATATAAGTGGTGTTTTTAAAAAGTTCTTTAAAAATTCTTTTGGCGAAACTCTGGAAGGAAAAACAGGCCTTAACTAAGAATTGGAGGGAAGGAAGTTAAACACCAGCTGAGAGCAAACTAAAGAAACCCAAAAAAGGGGAACTCGGGTATAGAGAAATGAGAGTACTTGTCTTAAATCTCTTTAGAGACAAATCCCAGAGTGGCATACAAAATAAGTAAGTTAAGACCCTGACCCTGGGAAACATCCACAGTTTGAAGGTTAGAGTTCTGAGATGCATGATCATAACCAAAAAGAAGGGGAAAAAAAGATTTTAGCTTTCTACAATGGAATATATTTTTATTGAGCACCAACTATATACAGAACATTTATGAAGGTTCAAGTAGCCTGAAAGTAAAAACCAACTCTGCTCCCTCATGAAGTAGAAGTAGTGACTGTAAACTGTATCACAATACAAATTCAACTCTTCCCCTAAGCACAGATCCCTGTCTGACAGAATGAATTCCAAATTCACAATCAGGATCCAAGTTAGGCCATATTAGCATCTCTGTATTTAAACGTTTTATTAAATTACCATCAAAAAGGCACTAAGTAAGATAAGAAATAGAGCTACTTATTTATTTCATATGCACCTTCAGATTTCTGAATTACACATTAAACATTCTATGTTGTCCTTGTATGCTTTTCACAAAAGAAGAAGGCATAAATACCTCAGGGTGCATCTGCCTAAGAAACAGGTGAAAAAAAAACTTCTTTCTATAGTTTCTATTAGAGTACAGAGAAATAGAATTTTAAAGGCTACAAAAATAAGGTAAGGATTATATGAGGCAAATAAATCAATAAAATCTATAGCAAAAGACCAATATTTTAGATTACCCTAAAAAGGCTGAGTTTCTAGGGGCGCCTGGGTGGCTCAGTCGGTTAAGTGTCCGACTTCAGCTCAGGTCATGATCTCACGGTTTGTGGGTTCGAGCCCCACGTCAGGCTCTGTGCTGACAGCTCAGAGCCTGGAGCCTGTCTTTGGATTCTTTGTCTCCCTCTTTCTCTGACCCTTCCCTGCTCACACAGTCTCTCTTTCTCTCTCAGAAATAAATAAAACATTAAAAAAAAAAAAAGGCTGAGTTTCCTAAAAGTTTGAAAAATGAGGGAAGCCATTTGACAAAATCCTTAACTTCAATTTTTTGTTTTTGTTTGATTTTGTTTCTAGGTTCCAGATTCAGAGATGTGCAACTGATCCAAGCAGTTATAAAAGCCTGGGAGATAGTTTTCGAACAATTTTCCGAACAGAAGGGTATGTACAGTTTTTCACGTATGGACTTTATGTTGACATAGGCATTTAACATATTACTATATGTTTTTTCATTTTTAATGGTTCATTTTCCTCGTGTTATTAGGGGAAAATATTTAAAAAGATACCTTCCCACTTTGTTTTTGTTTTTCCGGATAATACCATTGAAAACTAAGTATGTTATACCATAAGAACTACCACAAAAATGATATTAATATTCAGTTTGTTGACTAGAAGACAATTTCTGTTTTGTGCCATTAAGATTTTTTAAAGTTATCATAACAGCAGCTCTCTAAACGTAATAGTTCTTTATTTTGATTCTTGAATATAGTGCCCAAATGTGTTCCGTATTTGCATTGCAGTTTATGAAAATCCATTCAAAACAGAACTGTGTCAAAAGTTGATGTTCACATTTGTTATCTTGTCTACTAGATGATCAGATAAATAGAGTATTTTTTTTTACATAGGTGCCTGGATCGCTCAGTCATTTAAGCATCCGACTCTTGATTTTGGCTCAGATCATGACCTCACAGTTTGTAGGTTCAAGCCCTGCATCGGGTTCTGCACTGACAGTGTGGAGCCTGCTTGAGATATTCTCTCTCTCTCTCTCCCCCCCCCTCTCCCCCTCTCTCAGTCTCTCTGCCCCTCTCCCACTCATTCTCTCTCTCAAAATAAGTAAACTTTTAAAAATAATCTAATAGGTGAAAAATAAAACTGTCTATAAGCATTCTTTTGATTATAACTGGGATTGAGTGTGCTTTTATACCATTAGATGTCATTTCTTTTATGAATTGCTTATTTGTGTTCTTTGTCCATTTCTCTTAAGTTAGATATTTTATTGATTTGTAAGAGCTCTGTATATATTCTAGGTACTAATTCCTTAACAATGACATAGTTTGCAAATATTTTTCCAACTTGTCATTTGTCTTAGAGCTATAGTGTCTTACACCTTTCAGAATCTTAAAATTTTTGAAGATTGTGGTTTTGTGATTATATCTATCTTGTTCTCTGCAATATTTGACCCTATTGTCACATTAGAAAGAAGGATATCTTTTAGCCCCGAGATTATAAACATTTTCTTCTGGTATGTTTGACATTTAAATCATTAATCTGTCTGAGAATTGCTTTTTTTTTTTTTTAATGTGCCGTGTGGCATATAGGAATTAAATTTATTTTTAAATGGTTAGTCAATTGCCCAAATACCACTTGTTGAAAAATCTATCGTTTGCTCCCTCATGGAAATGCTAGCCTTTTTGTGTATTAAAATTCCATGTATACACCATCTAAATTTTCTATTCCATTTCTCCATTTCCTATTCTGTTTCATTAGTTTATCTGTCTCTATGCCAGTATCAGACTGTTTTAATTATTTTAATTTTGGAGTATTTGGATAATATATAAAAGTATGTCCTGCAGTATAAAGTCTAAAGTTATCATGGTACAGAGCCCTTCCTAGGATGGCTCTAGCATAGCCTAGTATGGCCTTCCCTTTCTCCAGGCTCATTCCCCATTCACAGATCTCCTCTAAGAACAGCCAACCTGCTCACATTCTCATAGCTTTGCATGCTAGTCTTTATCTTATTCTTGCAGGGCCAGTCCCCTCATCCATACAAGAAACTATCCCTCTTCATTCAAGAGTGCCTTCTCATTTCTTTCTCTCTGACCATCTTTTCTCTACCACACACTTTCTTTACCAATCACTCTTATATGCTATACAAAATATAGCATGCATCTGTCTAGTTTATTGTGGCTGTTTTCTGTCTGTTCCCTCTCTCTCACCCAAAGAATACAGTTCCCTAAGGGCTATTTCTCATTTAGCTCTGTATTCCTCTCCCTATGTTTAGCGCTGAGTAGAGATAGTAAGTGCATGTTAAATGAATAAAAGTCATCACATCAAAATCATAATGATGCAAAATGAAACAGAGATGATAATTCTGGCTATTAACTACCCCCACTGAAGTTATGAAAAGATCTTGATGCCCGATTAAATATCTTTAGAGGATCTAGTGACAAAGAAGCAGCAAATTCTTGCTATTACTGTGGTAATATGGTACCTAAGTGCCACACATTGATAATATACCTGCATTTATGACAGCTGGGATCAAAATCATGCTCATTTTACCCAAATATATATGTAAAGCTAAACAAATCATAGTATATTTTATAGTCAGTAGCAGGGTCCCTTTCCAGTAAAAGAGTAGTAGCAGCATTGCCAAGTTCTCTAAGCCGTAAAAGATATCCCTGAATTAGATGTGGGAGTTCCTAAGCCAGACTCTTTATTTCATGTGTGTTAGGAAGAATTTGATGTTTCTCCTTTGATATCAAGTAATACAACAAACATACAGCATGTGTGGTCCTTGCATAGTAAAATTGCCTTTTCCTAGACTGTATGTATAATTGCTCCTAAAGCAAATTGACATACTTTCTGTAATGCCTTTAGATCTAGACATGTTATTAGACCATAGCCAGAGAGCTCTAGTCTTAAAGATGTGAATATTTGTAAAAATACAAGAGAAAAAGCTGCCTATTATTTTTGATACAGAGCAAGAACATTTCATAGTGTTAAGTTAAAAAAGAAAAGAAAACCTTTTAATGCATGTTGTGTTGAATTTTTTTTCCTCTGGTGAAAGCAGTCCCTTCTGATTTTCTTATCTAGCTTTTAGAGTACACTCTGCTTTCAAAGATGTTTTTCTCACACAGGTGCCTACAGCGTCATTTGGTCTGTGGCTGTAGAGACATAACACAAGTCAGTTTGACTAATTGCATAGTTAAGGCAATTCATCTCTCTTGGTTTTTCCTATATCCCCCAAGTTAAAGGTTTTGAAAGTTATTCCTTTTCTGTTGTTTAAGAACATTAAAGTCTGGTAATACACTTAATGTCTACACAGACCTCCCATTTTCCTCCCTGCTGTAAGAAAGTGAAATGATACTCATCACCATTCTTAGAGATAGTTCCCCACTTCTCTGCCCAGAATTCATGTTTCCAAGAGACATTGCCTCAAATACATGGGTCCAAATAACCTTTACTGTTTCTAAGATTCTTTTAAGATCTAAAAACATAGATATATTGTACTTTAATGAAAGACATGGTTTTTTCAACCCAACTTTACCCAAAAATAATGCTTTCCAAATTCTGGGCAAGGGTTTCTACCGTATGGAATCATCATACTTAGTTGGCTTTTACCAAAGAGGCCATCTTCTCCTAATGGAAAAGAGAGAACTCACAGGGAAGAAATTTGTCACTGTTGAGGGTACCTCCATCACCATGATTCTTCATCTTTTTCTGGTGTGGCAAAAATAAACTCATAGGTCCATATACTGAAATGATGAACCCAGAAGACATAGTTAGCCTAGCTGATGAGGTGCCTTTAAAACCGATGAGTTTCATTTTGTAAAGTCTCCGGGCAAACAGCAGCTGGTATCTCCACATACCTTGTGTTCATGCATCGCGTCTTACTTCCTTCAGAGTATCTCCTGACAGCTTTTCTAGTCTCTTTTGTACCTGTCATTCCTTTAAAGAGAGTGATTGAGATGCACACAGATGGACAAGAGGATTATAAATTATGCTCATGTAAAACGAGGACTGCCCATCTCTCCTTCCTCTTCTGCAAGCTCCCAGTGGCCATTCTTCCCGAAATAAAGAGAAAAAGAATTAAACAGAACTTAAGATATCCTGGTGACATAGGTAAAGAAAGATGTGAAAGTAATATTTATTTCTTCAGTGTAACAGACACAATGCTAGGGACTTTTCAACCCTTATTTTCAACATAGCACTATTCTCAACACAAGACAGCATTATGTCTGTATTTTGTATGAAGTGCCTGAAGATCAGAGAAGTTAAATAACTTGCCCAAAGTCACACAGGTACTAGCGGCATGTCGTGGTCTTTCCATTATATTCTCTCACCTTTTACTAAATTTTACCAAATTTTGTTATTTATTAAATGAAAAGAAGGCGATGTGAAATGAGTGGCTATACATCCTGAATTTTTAAATAGCTCTTCTAAAACTTTCAGTATTCCTACCCCCAAATCACATAGCAATTTAAAGGAGCTTTTCTCTCTTCCTTCAGGTAAAGTACGAGTACTCTGAGAGACCATATATGCTCAGTTAACCGAATCTTGTTAGTTCCCGAGACAGCACCACAAACCTCTGGTAACTCAAGACTCTTAATCCAGTTATTGTCCCATCCCTGACAGATGGCTCCATATCCCTGATAAGTCCACAGCTTCCTGTTGGTCGGCTCTCATCTTGCATGGTCCTCAGTTTTCTTCTGAGAAAAATTCACGGACATGGGTTTGCCCAAGGCAAATAACAAGGAAACAACTGGGTCGGATCAGACTTAGTTTCAAATGAGAAACATGTTGATTGCTGGTGCCTTCAGAAATATGGTATTCTTCAGAAAGTATTACTGTAGAAAATATGTGGTTGCATTTGGGGGGTATTTGAACTGTGTTTTGCTTCACGATTTGTTTTCTGTAACCGCTGATGCTGCCCCAAGTATCATCTTACAATCAGACCACTTGGTGATTATAATATTTTCTAGTTAAATGACATTTAAGGCCTCATTTTATGAGCTCCAGCATAATTGGCTAATTTGGTAAACTCCAGATGTGTGAGATAATGTGCCACTCGTTTAAGGGCCTTCCAGACAACATAAATGGCACAGCCCCAGGAGGTATAATCACTCCCTCTTGTTTTCATTAAGAAGGGGAATGAGTGGCTTGTGACACAAAGGGAAGGGGGACGTCTACAATTCAAAATTAACACCAACCTGGCAAGATTTGGACCTTTTCATTTTACAGGTGGACTAACCCCAAGATCTTTACCTTAATTTGGTGTCTTAGTGGGTCTACTTTTTAAAACATGATTTGCCTAATATAACACAACCAGGTGATTTTCGTGCACCATCTCTAAACGGAAAAACTTACCCCTAGAGAAAACCCATTGGGTAGCACCTAGAAACCCTCTCACTTCCTCATGGAAAGGCAGAAAAGGGTTGGAC